TTCATCATGAACCACCTGTAGTACACCACCTGTCTTCACACACCTGCTCATGTCGCACTGAGAAGGCAGAAATTTTCAGTGTAGATTTTTGCTTTTTATAGGAAGATTTGCAGAACTATTCAATCATACCTCGTGTAGGTCAATGACCAATCATCATAGTGAATCTTTTACCAATGTTTCAAGCATTTTATCTGTTATTTAAACTATGTTTTATTTTTATTGTTTATGTCACATTTCTTTTTAATTTAACAGAATCATTTTAACCATCCGTGTGTATCGTACGCCCTTTGTTTTCTGTCTTGGTCTAAAGGCAGAAGCTTTCCTCGGTAGCTGGAGCAGGGTCTTTATCACAATGCTAAATACTAGACCAAGCCTCCAGGGTCTGACATTGGAGATCAACTGTCTGTTGGAATATGACAAATATCCAATCCAGGAAAATATGTTACCAGGATACGAGCAGTAAAGTCACTTTTGTTGTTGGCTGGAATACCTGGTCCTTTTCATAGCTATTCAGAAACTGACCATTCTGCAGAAATATGTATTTACATTTCCCAAAATTGCATAGTGGGGGTCTGTGGGTTTTGGAAAAACCACATGGTTGGATTTTATATTGCTTGTACTATATGTTTGCTTGTAATTTGTAGCAAGCATGCTTTATATGTTGCAGGGAGAAAATATTTTTATGGCTCAAATGCAAATAGTTTTTTGTGAGCAGTTTTATGTTCCACTAGAGATTAGCTCTTAAACAGGTTCTGGAGAAAACATCCTCACGTCAGCCAAACTGCCAGGATATTTCAAAGATCATAGGGGGGCCTACAGTGTAAATGCAAACATTTTGAGATGTATTTTACCTAATGTGGGTCATTAATACTTTATATCTACTGTTAATCATGCACTGCTCTAGTAATGCATCACAGCCAGAGAAATATAGCCTGCAGAATGCTGGCAGTCCTTCATTATGTTACTATCCCATGTTAACAGCTTGCTGCTGCAATATCAGCCTGCTCAACTCCCCATCATAATATAACTCGTCTCAGATTTATACTCAGACTTCTCCCTGAGCTCCATCTTTGTAGTTGGACCACGATCTGCTGTTGGGGACCAGCCAAGGCTCAGTAAAGCAACCTTTGGGTACTCGGTGTGACATGGAGTTGTGTTGCTAATTATGCCAATTGTTAATGATAAAAACCACTAAAAACTAGTGCTGTTTGAAGATTTTGAAAACTTGTTGATGCAGTTTGTTTTCTGGGATTCTGGGATTATTTGCTTGTTTAGAATTTTAAATTTTTTTTTAAAAATGTGCTGGGTCATTTTTGTAAGCAAGCTAGCTAATAGCCAGATGAAGGCAAGCTAAGGATTGGCTTTGATCCCTGAAGCCAACCAAACATTTCTTCATCTATCTAGTGCCCCATTCACATTCAGTAGAAAAATCTGTCGTTTTTCTGCATGATGTTAACTAATGTTAGTTTACCTGCTAACACCAGAATAAATTTGACAAGCTTGAGTCGAGTATATTCATAACACCATAATTTTCTTTCTTTCAACATTGGGTGTAATGAGTGAGGGATAGACTTCACTGAGAAACTGCACACCCACAGGCTAGCAACTTGTGAATCACACAGAAAAGCACACTTGGTTTTATTCTCTTTCAAGGGGGCCCCATTACAATTGGGACCATAATTTACTAAATGAAAATTATATTTTGTATAAGATATTGAGACGATCGTTTACGGAGCTCACAGACAAAGACACTGAAAGAATGGAGGTTTACAGTACTTTCAGACCTACACATTTTACATATAACACAGACTAATTGTGAGATACCCCAAAGGCATGCATGGCCATCTTGCCAAGGCAACTTTTTTCAAACTCATGTGGAGTTTTTGTTGGAATCTGTGGGTACTGGGAGACACTGTGTCCAGTATATGTGCATTTTTTTTAACACCAACATGGTATTTTTACAACAGCAAACCCTGTTTTTGGATTCTTGAACTGGTTAATGTTCTTAGCATGCATTCTGGTTTTATCCAGAACATTCACCAATTTTCTTATGCAAAAATATTTGAAGGCCGATAGTTATTGTTAAGGCCTCAGACTTGGAGAATAGTCAGAGACCTGGTTGCTAGGGTCACTTGGTGTATTGCCCAACCACTTAGCAAGTGGTTGCTCGCTGTCATTGAGTGAAATCTGTTGCTAAGAGGGTTCTGATACAAAGCCTGCATGGAAGAAGCTGATTTGTCTCGCTGATTAACCATCTAGGGGTTGTATAACTTGAAAAAGCACCAGTTGCTACGCATTCTTCACAGCTTCACTATTACTTAGCGATAGGTTGGCAAGTGTTTGCAGTCAACAGTGTCTTCCATATCATAGTCACTGCTAACAACCATTCACAACCAGATGGGAATACTCATTTTTCCCTGCTGACCAGTGCTTGACAAATGGTTGCCAGCTGGTCTTATGAATGTGTGACTAAAGCCTAATATCACTGGATGTGGGTCATTGTGTGGTTAACATTTCTGGTCCATTGTTGAAATTTTTTTGTTTGTTAGCAAGTAAATAAGCTGAGCCAACATGGCTAATGTTGCTCATTGTTGGTGCTGTAGTGTCACAGATGAGAGGTAGAGCGAAGTGAGCATACTTTTTTTTACATTATATATATGTGTGTGTACTTACATGACATGTATTAACACTTAAAAAATGTACCTTTGAGCTTCTCAAAGTAATATCACATTTCAGAGCAATCAAATACCAATTACAGTGTGTGCAATACAAAGAATACATGTTTTAATACACAAATATGTTGTAAATTAAACACGTATTAATTCCAGACCGGGCATTGTAGCTCAGTCTGGCATCATTTAAGGTTAGTTTAGCTTTTTTTTTCTTTCTTTCTCTAAAAAAAAAGTTTAACTAATTTTGAAATTTGTGCCTTTGTTTTATTTATTTCCATGCCTGGCTCGTCTCGACTGAAAGGCTGAGCTGAAACCAAATCCAACATGGGAACAATGCAGGACTCAACTCTATCATAATGAGATGTTTTCAACTCACAAACTCTCATATTTCATGTTAACAAAGGGTAATGATCTTCCAATTTTATGGCTAAAGGATGTTAACTTGATGTTTTATTCTTTTTTTTAATCAGAAAGCGCTTTGCTTCCAAGACACTGCTTGAGAAGTGTTTCTTTGATCAATCATCTGAGAGGGTTAAATGCTACCTCAATGCATATTATGTAAAAATACTAATAAATCACAGCCTAAATTTTATGCACATGCTTATCAAATTATCCTCACCTGCAAGTCCAAACATTTTGGTTCCTTTTGCTCCATCAAAAAGTTGCATATTCTTGTTCTGCTGTATCAGAAATAGCAGAAAACTTAAAAGCAGATCAGGATCCAGTCGGATGCTGTAAATTAATCAGTCATTTATTTTGGAATTCAGACCTGTCTTTGGTTTCACTTGGTTATTAGTCCCAGCTTTACTCTAATGCCTGGCTTGGCGAACCCACAAACAGCATCCCAGAGATCAAATTGGAAACAGACTTCTCGCTATTATAAAAGTTGCATTACTCTGCAGGTTGCTTTTCTTTCTTTTCTGTAAAACAGAGTTCTTTTATAACCTGTTGTTGAATAATAATATGATAATGGTGGCTGTGAAATGCTCTGAAATCCATCAATCTTTTTTTTTATTCCTCATGGTAAGTCATGACCTCAAAGTGGTCCTTTTTCTTTATTTTAAGGCCTCCTGCTGCGTGAGCCTATAAAGAGAAATGTTCCACAAAAAAAGCAGAGGGTCGAGTAGCACGCACCACTAGAACTACGCAGCAGTCGTTTCCTCCTAATAAAGTCTTAGAAAGTCATGCAAAAAATGTTCTACTCTCATACTTTTCTTTTTTCTTTGTAACATATGAAGTCATTATTTGACAATTTAAGATAAAACGTATTACAGTGTTCTTGTCATGCAGAGATCACTCTCTGTGACTTTCCAATGCTGCTTTCAACTTTTGACTGTTTGATTCGATGATTATTTCTAGTAATGCTGCAAATATGCTGCCTAACCAATCTAAAAAAATGCCCAAATTAAACAATTATTTACAGAGTTAGAGGAAAGATGTCATGCAGAAGAAATGGTCATGATGATTGTTTTCTGTTTGTTGTTGTTGTTTTTCATTTTAGTTCAGACCTGCATATTAGTTTTATTTTCCAAAAGAAAAGTCACGGCACTCCCCACCAAGTGCTATAAATTACCTCCTACATGCTTTAAAACTGTGTTTTAGTCACACAGGCTTAGAGACCAGTTGATGACCGCTTGACAAACGTCTTGGTCGATAGGGAAAAATTTGTATTCTCCCGCAGTACCCTCTTTGTGACCTTTTTCACCTAGTGACACCCAGCAGGTTCAGTCAACTACTCACAAGCAATCAGGAAATGCACCTTTCTTGCCTAGCAATTGAGGGTTTCCAGGATGTCTCCAGGCATTTCTATGCACGGGTCTCTAGGCCTATGTGAATGAGATCTTAAGCACTATGCTTGTGCAGCTTCAAAGCAACAACAGAAGCCCAAAAGGACAGTGAGTAGAATGGAAAACACTGGTTCATAAGTTACATTCCCACACTTTGTCACTTCAAAAAGTGCCAGATGTTCTTCTGCCTTTCCAAAAAAAAATACTTCCTGAGATACCTTTGCTCCCAAAAATGATCATCACTAAAGTGGATTCAGGTGGTTTGGTGGATAATGCCAGCCCTTTTGGTTTTCTTTAAGACACTTAAACATGATGGTAGCTGTGCCATCATGTTTAAGTTGGAGTCATCTTCCACTGTCCGCACAAGCATCGGCTGCTGCCAAGATTGCAACATTTTCCAGCTGGCCTCAGGGAAAACCAGTGGTATATCAGTGCAGCAGTAACCCCATGTGATTATATAAAATCCTTATATAAAGGATATTCAAGCTTTAAATAAAATGACCCCAATCATCTTACATTTATTGTTGCCTCTTTTTTACAGCTACTACAACTGGAAGACGCAAGTGTCCACTTCCAACTCGAGCCCAAACTTTGAGGTGATTTATGACGACCCTAACGGCCTTCTCTTTAAGAACAAGAGGGACAAAAAGATTCTGAATTTGGACCCTTTGGTAGGTTTTTGTGTTGCTGTTGTTATTGTCCTGCTTTGGTTTTAAAACCTAGGGAGACAAATGGTGCTGCTAATTAGACCGGGTCACCTGTTCCATCGCAGTAAAAATGTCTCAGGGGAGCAAAAAAGGGTTTTAGGGAGAAGGCTCTTTTCTAAATTCTTTTTGCTGCACAACGGACTGCTTCTGAAAACAGATTTTGTTGTCCTTTTGGCTCAGATGACTGTGATGCACCTCCAATATCCTGATCATTTCCTCTCTTGTTACCTTTAACACCTTTTACTTTGTTGCACCATTTTAACGAACTGCAAATGTTCCAAAGAAAATCGCTTGTTTTTCAACTAGTCACAAGTTACTTCAGAGACTGCACTCTAAGGGAAGAGGTTGGGGAGACAGAGAGAGATAAAGAAATCAGTGGGAGGGAAAGATATTTGTGTTCCACCTGCACAAAGAAGGGAGGATCAAGTGGTCGAGACAGGTGCTTCCTCTACACTCAAAGGCTGACAGGGGCCCTGGAAGAATAACGACTCCCTAATGTTTTTTTCTCTCCAGTTTCCTTCTTTGCTGGGGGGTAGGGAAGTAGTTGGTGGGGCTGAACTATTTTGAAATTGCAGACAGAGCTGTGGGGACTGCGTTTTTGAGGCCAAGCGCCAAAATGGCAGCACAGTGTTCTAGCTGTGGTCGAGCACCGCCCCAACCAGGCTGTCTATTAAAAACACAAGCGAAGGCATTGGGAGCCAGACACAGCAAACCACCCGTGTGCCCAGAACCCAGCTCAGCTCAGCCCAGATTGGCTCGACATGGAGCAGCACAGAACCATCCGGCCTTTAACCCGCCATGAGCTCACTAGCTGCTCATGTGGCCTTAGAGCCACCGGAGAACCTTCCAAAATCAAAGCTCACATCAACTCATTTGGGGTGGCTTGTTTGTTTTTCTGCCTTTGTCATTCCATGACCGCTTTTCTATCCCTGCCAGAAAGTGGGTTGGGGTGGAGGGGTTGTCATTTTTCAGTTATGACAATGGCTTGATTGGCTTGGCAAAGTAAAAGTTAGAGAGAAAAAAACCCCTTGATGCTCAAATTTGAAGAACAGGGTAAGCTGACATGAATTTAAATGTGAGTGTTAATGACAGTGTTTGGTTTCTATAACATTTGAAAAAAAATGCTTGGCCTTAAGCAGCATTTCCCATTATCTCTCACTGTGTCTGTGACATCAGGTTTATTGGCTTATTTTTATTGATGCTCTTTTCAACTTGCAGAGGAAGACTGTCTCAGTTATTAGGACACCCACAAGTGTGGCTTAGGTAAAAGTGTAAATTGAGTGTAATGGTTCGCTATGGTTCCGTTCCCTCCAGAAGCTTTTGACACACTTAGCCTGAAATAAATGTTCCCAGCTGGTAGTGGCTTCACATCTTAGTGGTGGGGCTGTGTCAGCTTTGACAGCCAAAGTAACACAAAACATCTTGGAAAATGAACAGTTACAGTCACTGTCAAATTATGCAGCACTTGGCCTCCCCTTTAATATACCTGCTATTATAAAGAGGTGTGCTCTAGAGATGTGCGGTTTTGTTTAATTGCTAACATACTCTCTCTGTGGTAGCTGTCACATTTTCAGTATGGTGATATTTTTAATTTAACACTGAAACTAATATTCCCATGCACTGGAAAGCTATCTTTGGTATTTCTAAAACCACAGCAACTCTGTATTTATTTGAAGATTTTAGCTTCTTTCAGCTCACAGTTTTGGTTCTAAATGATGCAGGTTTGATGCAGAAAAAAGTAATAAAGATGATGTTTAAAAAGTCTCATGAATTCACCTTTTTTGTTCTAAAAAAACAGAAAACTTTCATAAATACAGATCATAAATTTGTACAGAAAGTCCTTAATAATGTCATAAATCAAGTGACAGGTAGGGGCCTTTTCTTATAGACTTCTATAGAATCTGACTCCTTGTCTAATGCCCCCTGCTGGCCATTAGAGAAAGTGCAGATTTTAGAGTTGTCCACATTGGCTTCACTTTTACAGACGGACGCTACATCCATCTTTTCTTATACAGCTTCTGAAAACATGTCTTGAGATCTTGAAAATTCATGAGACCAGTCGAAAACATCACAAATGTTTAGTTCTTTGCTTTGCGTTTGAATGCACGATTGTAGACTGTAGACAGCACTACCCCCAAACAAGCACCACTAACTTCTCTGTGCTGGGTTTCAGTCTGGTCCTGGCGAGGACTCCAACAGGACATTCCTGCAGTCGGACATCTACATCCATGTTGTCATCTACGACCACAACGTCAGGACAGTCTAAACTTCACAGGCCGTCGCCAACACTTGCATACATATGGCACATATTGGAGAGCACTGGAAGCCTCTAATTTGACTGAGTTGCTGTAGTTGGACCATCATTTACACTGTTCCCCTCATATCATGCATGCCATCTGGGTGGAGGTGTTGTAGTGGAGAAAAAAAGGCTTTAAACTGAGGAATCCCAGAGGATGAAGTTGATGGACTCGTGTGACAACTTGGAAGTTTCTTTGCAAATACTCTGGGGTTTTATGTCTAACTTTGGCCTTAAATTGTTGCATCCAGGTCGGGATTGACTGTGCTTTTGGCACTTACCCAAGCAAGCAGAGTTAGTTAGGGGCAAGAACCTGCTCAGAGACCCCAGGCTCGTATCATCATTTGGTCTGGCATGTTTTGGGCTGTTTGTCTAAACAAATTAAAGGCGTAAGAGCTTTGAAAGATGATGGGGGTTGCTTTCATGTCCTCCCCCAGGCTGCGGTAGCTCCAATTGGACTGGAAGAGTGGGTAATGGGCTTAAAGCATTCCGTATGTTTCCAGATGCAAGGCACACGTTACGGGACATCAAAGTGCCCTATCATTTACATATTAGTCATTCACTATGACATTTTTAAATTATTTTCTCAGAGGGCTTTTGGTAACTTAAATCCCTTTAATTTCAGGATTATTATTTGTTGTTTTTTGTAACAGTATCTAAATCTAGAAGTTGAGTCTTTATTAGTTCATAAATTTGCTTTCTGTACATTCTGCTGACTCAATGTCTCTGCATGTAGAAAATTTGGGGGGATAGCAGTAATGCTGCTTCTCAGACTTATCTACCTCTGTTTATTGTGTTTAGTCCTTTTTTGGACTAAACACGTTCACTGGGCGAGATTTAGGGTGCACCCTGGACAGGTCATCAGTCCGTCACAGGCCTAACAGAGGGACAGTCAACCACACACTCTCACATCCACACCTACAGCCAATTTGGAGTCACCAATTAACCTAACTAGCAAGTCTGAGGGTAGAAGACTACCCAAAGGACACCCGTGTAGGCACAGTGATATGCAAACTCCACACAGAGAGGCCTCAGCCAGCCAGGAGATTCAAATCAAAAACCTACCAAAGGTAAGTAACAAATAATGAACACATTAAATCTTGGTTAATTAATCCAGACATGCACGCATAAATAAATAAATGGCTAGGGGTTAGGATTGGGGTTTTATGAGTGGCTGTTCTGAACCTGTATCTGAACATTTATCTGCTGCACAGACGTGCAAGTGGTATCAATCTTTTCATCTAAATCAAATAAGCTTATTTCCTTAACTGCTGAGCCTTTAAGCTCACACTGTCACCTCCACATTTTATCTCGCCTTTATATTAATTTTCTCATTACTAATCTATCACCTGTTTTTCCCCTGAAAGTCACAAGCTTCAAACAAATTAGTTCATTCTAATACAAACGTCTAATGTTTCTCATCTGGCTTGATACCAGAGAAGCATTCCACTTGCTGCATCTGTTTGTTTTCACCGAATTGGACCCTGTTGTCCTCATTGAAATAATATGTGTGGTGACAAGGCTATTTGGGCTGTGGTTCTGTAAAAACTGGGGTTAGGGAAATGACGGTCTGGTTTGGGGTTGTTAATCATTACTGTTCTTTTGTTTTTCCTTCCCTTTTTTAAAGACGATAGGAGTTCTGGGCCTGTTTTTGTGGTTATCGTGAGCAAAGCTGGTGAAAAGTCTGATGGAGTTATAAAAGTGACACAGATGGGAATGTAGGATGTGCCTATTTTCAGTCTTTAACATGTTTTCGTGCAGTTTTATGTATTTTTTTTATCATCTATTTGTGGTTGCTGGTGTGTAAACTGATCTTAAACTGTTTCTTTGTTTCTTGCTGAAACTACAACCTAAGTAGCAGAAGTATATTCAGACCTGGTTTCTCTGTTGACTGCCTTGTTGAACAGCATATTTAACCTGAGTGCAGCGCATGTTGTAATTGAGAAACCTTCCACCTGCCTGTCTCACTACTTGGTTATTTGTTGTTGTTGTTTCTGTTTTCAGTTTGGAGATTTTTTTGTAATTGTGTTTGGAAATGAGAAGTCAGGCAGCAAATGAACACTTCACCCTCATCTACAGCTGTTTAGGTTTACAGGCCACGGCTCATTTATGTGGCCAGGTAACGGCGATGGAACTGGCTGCTTTATTCTCTCTCCCACCCTGAAAGTTGCATCAGTCATTCCAAATACCTTCCAATGAAAACAGCAGATGTGCACAAGACGGGAAAAAGGCCATCTAAAACAAACAGGCAAACAAGTGCACTGCATCTGAAATGCATTGGTTGTTCTTTGAATGCCTTACCTCTGTAGAAAACAGCATTTAAAATGATTACTGGAATCCACCCAGATCATGTGTCTGCAAACAGGGATGATTTCACAATAAAGTCCAGGTTAAACAGTAATATTCCCCTTCATTTCCTTTATTGGGCTTTTAAGCTGTTGGGGTTTTAACTGAAGCGTTAAAACCCCTAATGTTAAAACATTAGTTAGAGGTCTGAGGTCTAATATGCACAACTTGAGTCAAAGTGGTGGATTCAGACTGCAGCAGAGGCACGATTCAGTCTTTTCTATGAAACAAGCTCAGTTTCACCTCAGTTTGATGTCTTTTTGTGTAGTTTTCACTCATAGATTATTGTGTTTGACATCTCATTACCTACAACCTTATGATTAATAGATTAATATTGGCATGCAGATATTACAATAACCTTGTGAATCTAGTGATAGCTGCCGACATGCAAAAATAAATTCCAAATTAAATCCTAAGCTAAATTACAGCGCTTTCACTTTCAAACACACAACCACTTCTTACCCCTCAGCCAAAAAGGCTGATGGGTTATTGTTGTCACCCGTTGGATGGGCGAGTGGGCAGCGTAGACACCCAAGTTTTTGAATGCGCTAACTTGAGAAGGATGTCACCTGTCCAAAAATACAAACCCAATAAAAATGTCTAATTAGCAGAGGTGTGGCCTAGCAGACTTCTGCTGATTGGAGCCGCCTGTGTTGTTATACCTAAAAGCCTTTCTGTACAATTTTTAATGAAGGGTGAAACTATCGAGACCAAAATCAGGTTCAAAACATCTGTTTTAATGCTATAGATTTGGGAATGTTATACAAATATACGAGATTGACTCACTTTTTGGGCCAGTCTCAAGTGGCCACAAGTGGAACTGCAGTTTCTGACACTTCATGTTGGCTTTATTTTCAGAACTGACTTCGGGTGTTAACATAAAAAAAATAGAAGATTCAAACTAAATATTATAGCTGAAGTGTTGTTGGAACATTTGTTTCAATCTATAAAGTCATGGTTTTTTTTTGAAGTGTCTTTCAGCACAGGAGTCAATTAATTGGTTTTTCATTGGATAGTTAAATACCACGGGCACCGTTGTTAAAACTCACCAGTTCAACAGTCACGGACATACATGTTGAATTTGACCATTTGTAAGTTCCTTTACTTGAATAAGTTTTCTTTTCCTTTGACAACTGTTTTATTATTGAGGGCAGTACTACTCTTAATCACTGTCCACTTTAGGGACTGGTTTTAACTCTGGCTTACAGTTAAATCCAGAGTTGTCCAACATCCAACTTACAAAGTGCTAAATGATCAGGCCCCGTCATATCTTAAAGACCTCATATTATCTCATATCCCAATAGAGCACTTTGCTCTCTGAGTGCAGGCCTGCTCGTGGTTCCTAGAGTTTCCAAAAGTAGAATGGAAGGCAGAGCCTTCACGCTCCTCTCCTGATGCTTCTTGCTTATCTGGTAGCAGCTGAAGACGTTAAAGTCATTCAGCCTGTTGACTGCTATGAAAGACATGGCATGCTAATATTATTGCCATCAGATGTCCAAGGGCGGGGAAATGCCCTAATCATTTCCTCCCGAGTGCCCCTGAAAGAGGACCAGTGGTGGGGGGGACTGCAGGCCGACTGGGTGGGGTGTTCAAACCCCGCCTGATGGCTGTTTGGGGGGAAGGCGGGGAACAGTATGCATCCGGATCGGACTGTGATGGTACAGGATGTGTGTGCTTAACTCCATTGAACTAGACTAAGTAGGGAAGAAAGCCTTTAATGCCGACAATAAGCCGCTTCATTCAGCAGCGCGGCCCGGACGCGCAGCTCTGCGGAGTAGAAATTGCGCACGGAGGGGCTGTTCTCTGGCAGCAGTTTAGGTGTTGAAATCAGTTCAATAAACCTCTGGAATGTCGTTTAGTAAAATATTTTCACGCTCTCCGTCTCGAGTCAACCGACAAAACACGCCCCCTTCGGCTCTTGATAACGAGATAATTCGAGATAATTTGTCCCCAGGCTGAATGTGCGTAGAAGTATTTTGAACAGGAAACTCTCTCTCTCTCTCTCTCTCTCTCTCTCTCCCTCTCTCTCTCTGAGGGTGAGCATGTGTACGTGTGTGTGCGCAGTGTGTGTGTGTGTGTGAGAGAAAGGAGAGAGGAATACCCAGCTGGTCCCATAAGCCCTATAATACCAAGCACAACATGCTTTACCTTCAATGAAAGCTGAGACTGAGGGACGGTTGACTGCTGGACCTGAAATCAGCTTGGAGTCGGAGAGGCGCAGTTTTTCTCCTTCTGCTTTCTCACACCTCATCCTGCGCGCCGGAACCTTTTTATCATTATTATTTTTATCTTTTTACTGACTTAATTTACTGACTCAAACACATTTAGACCTGCAACTTATCAAAAGTAGAGACAACTTGGATAACGCATCTTCCTCTCTTGTTGTGACCGGTGTCAAAGGTGATGGTGTCATTTTCTTGCAGAGGACTCAGGTGATGGTATGTGTTTCTGGAGATAGGGGCCACTTTCGGAAACGTGTTAGTTTTTCCACAGCTGTTATTTTTTCGTTTGCTACGTTTCCTTTGCCTCGAACATGGCACTCTACTCTCGATTTGTGATCGTGCTGCTTTACGGATGGAGTTATTTGTGCGTTGGATTGTGCGCGATGCTGAAAACGGACAATATCCCCGAGAGACTAAAGGTGGATTTTACGCATTCGGTGGATAAAAAATACGCGACAAAAGAAGACCAGGATGCGCTTTTACAGGATACGATGACGGAGCACATGCAGATGCTTTACGCGAAGTACAACAGCGCTGGATTTCCCTTCAAGGACGGCAACACTGTTCGTAGTTTCAAAGCGCATTGGGGTATGTATCAAATGTTTTATGTATATTAAGAACACCGACTTCTACCAGCATAGAAGTCAGTGACCGGCATGCCTTTTTGATGTTATGTTTCCATTTTGCCTCAATCAGCTTGAATCACCTGCATAGTAAAAATGCAAATCGGCACATTTTTTCCATCTATAGATGAAAAACTTAAAGTAGAAAGAACATATAATATTGAGTAAGTCTTATTTTATAGAGCATAATGTAAAATTCGTTAAGACCGATGCCGTTCATGTGTGCGGAGCTGAAAAAGAAATACACCTGTTGATCCAGTAATGGAAATGTGAACAACCTGTTACGCATTCCTTTTGCCAGTAAGGGTAAAAGATTCGCATCAGATGGTGGCATGCAATTTAACATAGCTTGGCCGCACAACTGTTCACACCTTCAGATTTTACTGTCAGATAGTCTTGATAAATTTTCTCTCGAGCCAGCATCTGGCAGCTGCCCAGACTGCCTGAGCTGTAGCAGCGTTTGAGTTTCCACTGCAGCGAGCGCTAATGTCCTTTCAGCTGGAGCTTTTTTTCCCCTCTTCTTCAGGTTCATTTATAGTAACTTTAATCCAATAAACCCTCAAGTGTTTACACTTCGCTGTGTTATTATCACTCGGACCATGGGGCGACCAGTTGCCACTTAGGGTTAAACTTTGTTAGATTACACTGCCTCCTGTCGCCCGGCTGCTGTATGGTATAGCATTAAAGGGCAGGTTCACCCAAATCACAAACATATTTCACGATTGATCCTCAGAAGAATTTGGCCATGCAGGAGTTTTTGGTTTTTGCTTGAAATTTCTGCTTTTATCCCAAAGCAGTGGAGATAAGTGGGAGTTTCTGCTATGCTGTTGCAAGCAATGACATGTTTAAAATGTTAAAGAAACCTTCTAAAGTACTGGTCTGTTCTTTCTTTACAGTGACAATTTTCTTTTTGATTGAAGCAATCCTCAAAATGAAAGCCTGTTAAAGCTTGGGTGAATTGTCCTGTGTCCTGCCGATCTTTAAAAATATTTTGTAATTAATGATTTTTTTAATACGTTTTTTAAAATCCCAAAATAATTCTATTGCATTAGGGTGAACAACTGTTTCATGACCTGAGCAAAAAAAGTGCACAACATAAGCCCGATGATGAAAACGCTGGACTAAAAAGAGGAAATACAAACATATAAATTATTATTACTAGCAGTAAAGTTTAGGAAAGGCCATGGTCAGTTTTGAAATGATGTGAACCGTGTTGCACTCTGTTCATGATATTACTCATTATATGCACAGGTACTATAAACAAGAAACAGCTGCAGATTTTCAACCTCACCTCCCTCACCAAATCAGAAGACATCCTGTCAGCTACTCTTCATTATTACATTGGAGACCTTCAGAACAGCACCCAGGGCTGCTCCAGGTCCAAAAGCTGCGCTCGCCATGGTCCCAGGAGGCACAGCCACATCCACATGGTCATCTGGAGCTTTGCATCTGTGGATAACAAGATGAGGACTCTTGGACATTTTCGGATCAATGTGTCCACCCTCTACAGGGACTTCATATCTTGGCAGTGGAAGGACATAACTCGTGTGGTCAACCAGGCCAAACACCACGACGAGCTGCTTATTGGGATTGAAGTGGCTTCACAAGGTTCCCAGCCGTGGAAGAAGCTCCTGTCAGACCGCTCACCCTACATCCTGGTCTATGCCAATGACTCTGCCATTTCAGAGCCTGAAAGTGTGGTAGCTACTCTCCAGAGGCCCCACTCAGTGAGAGGTGAGGGCTCCATTTCACACGGCTTCCATAAAGTGGGACTACGAGAGCAAAACGACACCGAAGGACAGCCGCAGCCCAGACACAGGCGCTCAGTGAATGTTCTCCTACCTTTGCAAAATAATGAACTTCCTGGTCCCGAGTACCCATATGAGACGACCGGCTGGGACGAGACAACTCCCTACGAACCATTTGAAAACAAACAGGCACGCAGGCCGCGTAAAAAGACACGCAAGAATCAGCGGCATAAGATGCCCTTGCTACAGTTTGATGAGCAGACGATTAAAAAGGCGCGAAAGAAGCAGTGGAACGAGCCCAGGAACTGCGCTCGGAGATACCTGAAAGTTGACTTTGCCGACATTGGATGGAGCGAATGGATTATATCGCCCAAGTCGTTTGATGCCTATTATTGCTCAGGGTCCTGCCAGTTCCCCATGCCAAAGGTGAGATTCAAAGCCCGGTAGCGCCACACTATAGTG